GGTTTACATCTCTCAGTTGATCTCTCAGTTGATCTGAACATGATCTATAAGTATAAACAATTACTAAAACGAAGTAAGGTTGATGAAACATGAACATTAACAACCTCGTTCAAAGGTCGATACAATGACCTTTTCAGGAATCACCATATACACATGTAATCATTAAGCCAAATCCCACTGAGGTTTTTCATACCAAATGTTAGGCCATTATTTACACACTGAATTGTCGACAAAGAGCTAAAGCCACGAACCATCGAAATATGCCTTAACTAAAAAATCAATGAGAAGTTAAATAAAGATAGTGTAGACTTGTAGTTTTCAGAACTGTTTTCCTTTTTTAGATATCTATAATACTTTTTCAAGAAGAGATTTGACAGTATGGCATTGTTTTGAATGAAATTTACATGAGGAACGTCATTATTTGTAACGTAACGTCATAACATCGTAAAAAGTCCTTTGCAATAGAACATTCTACAGTAACTTCTTACCTCTGTAAACCCAAGCGTTACAATTGTTTTTTTCTGTACACGTAGTTTTAAAAGTATTTAATACTTTAGACATATTTCACTGCATTATATAACATAATTATTATCTGAAATAATAAATTCTGGAAAGTTTTCAGATTTTGTGACTGGATAAATAAAAAGTGAAGCCCGGCGCAGTAATCATTAAATCTTTTTCTTAACAAAAATCTGGGCCTATCATAAAGAAGTAGAATTATCAAATTGGGAAAGTATGTTTTTGTGTATGTGACGAACCCCGATTTATTCGTGCATTTTGACAATAGAATATATGTATTGCAGAATTCCTGAAGTTTTAAAGAAAGGGAGGGGGTTGTAAGTAAAATGAATTTGATTTCAAAGATAAGTATATATAAATTGTATCTCTAAATTCGAGTTTTTCTAGTTATATTACCAGGTATATCGTAGTTCGCTAGATAATATTGATATCACACGCATTTGAATTTAGATTTTTTTTTCTTTCAGGTATCTTGTCCTTTAAGCAAAATTATACAGTGCATTTATTTGATTAATTATCTTTAATTCTCATGTTCTATATCGCTAGATCGCTTCTATTTTGCGCGGGGGGGGGGGGGGGTAAGACATGCGTCTTAATCCTTTTATCTTAAATTATATCATTGTGTACTGCATTAAAATAAATCTGCGTCTGTGTTTATTGTTAAAAAAATCAAGTATTTTAATCAGCAAAGGATTGTTGCTTGTCTCCAATATCACACTCATGTGTGTATATTAAAAAAATATTTTTAAAATCGCCATGCACACTCAGCATGGTTAGAATAGTACTACATGTACTCGGGAATGGAACGAATTATATTTCGACCACTTCCTCTACTTTTTTAATAGATTTTTTTATCGCCGTTTTTTTTTTCTTTTCCTGCTCCTTTATCCATGAAAATCACTACCTTGCCACAGTTTTTTTTTATATTTGAAGCGAAACCAACCTAACTACCAGTCATAGTGAAGGGGCATTCTAAGTAACAAAAATATATGTCCCAATTTGCGTTTACTATAGATATACAGGTGGTATGTATATAAAATGTAGTGATAATGAAAGCTTAATATTTTCATCACTTATTTTTAATAATTGTCATCCCCAAGTAACACTTTCACATCTCCGCAGAGATTTTCTTCTATCTATAGATAATTCAGTTATCCAGTTTGTTAAATCTGTCCGATCCATGCTATGTCTGATCACCCTAGATGTGATTAGGGTTCAAAATCCATGTTTATTTTTATTCATTAAATGTGTGCAAATCGTGAGTCTGACACCTTTTTTAATTTTAATCTGATAACCTCGGTCGGTTTTTCCCTCAAAATGCATTCAGATGTTACAGAATTTCGGACACATTTGACACCTTTTTATCGGGTAATCTCGGTATTTAACTCAAAATGCATTCAGATGTTACGGAATTTCGGACACATTTGACCAGTTTCTATAGTAGTTACGAGACGTATTTCTTCTATAATGTAGATCATCCGGAATTATTCATTTTCAGAGTTAATTAATAGATTACCAATAGATTTTTCTTTTTTTTTTTCGTTCTGGAAAAAAAATCTGCGTCGTATTATTATTTAAAGGTATGCCCTCCCACTCCCCCCTGCAGAAAATTAAAATAACGTAAAAACTGCTTCTATAAATAAGCCCTTTTCAAAATTGTGTAATACTTTTACTATTTATGAAATGGTTCTTACACTTCATAAAGGACATCGTCAAATATGTAAGTTGATCTTGTAAATTACAATTCCAAAGAAAAAATTTTAAGACATCGTAATAGGCTAATAAAGAAGGGAAAAGCTATACGGAGAAAAAGAGAGACGTCGCGCACAGAAATGAGGCTGATTTTGTAACGTCAAAATATACTTTTCTAACGTTATTGAATATGAAAAAAAGTGCTTACTTTTAAATGTTTCTTTAAATACAAAATTTTATTTATATGCACATTTAAAAAATAATATCTTATCTGTTTAAAGTTTTCCCAGCAAATAGAGAATACATCTCACATTGTTGTTATACGCCCGGTTAAATACCATAATACGCATATTTGTGCCCTAGTAACAAAACCGACTAGACATCAAAATCGCTCTATTAATCTCTCCTACTGCTTGCTTATAATTTTTTAAAGAAACATTTGACTACTTCTTGATTTGCACATTTCATTTATCAACTTAGTTTTACAAAGAGAACCTGTTATATAGTAAAAAATCTTTATCAAACATTCTATCTTTTCTTGTAACTTATCAAGATTACAGCATGTTACGGAACGCTTCCTATTTTACGAACAGTCGGAACAGTCCGTAAATTAGAAATTTATTAATGAATGTTGTGTGACATCATCACAGGAATTTAAAGAAGCTTGGTACAAATTGCCAGAAAAATCCATGTAGCTAAAACGACAAAATGACCAAAAATACCAACGCCCGTCGTTCACAGTGTTACAAGTTACGCAATTTCAAACCCCAATACTAGGCGCGACGTCACAGAGAGAGAGCAAGCGTTTAGAGCTTATAATTTTAAAAATAATGTTAGATAACTAACATTTACTGTAATCTTGAATGCATAATATTCATAAATGCAATATATTTCTTCATTTGAAATATCAGTGTGTAAACAAATCAAACTATTTACTCTTTCACGAATCCTAGAATACACTGTCATAGAGTTGCATGAATTTTAGATATTAACTTCGGATTAGGCTTTTTTTATGTTAATAAAAAAGATTTGAAACAAGGTATTACATTCAACATCTAGTGCTGGCAACAAATTATAAACTCGACACAAATCAATTCTCAACACTTTTTTTCCTAATTATAAAATTATTTTGACAAACTTCTTCAAATTATTTTTGCTCAGATTCAGTAGGCCTCACGGACATATTATGACGTCATCAATGTATCATGTATGTAAGCATGAAAGAAAAGAGCGTAATTTTGAATTTTATATATATATATACATTTGTGGTATCTCTCTATTATATAAACATACGGAGAACAAATATCTTCAATTCTGTATGAAGTTTGTCCGAGGTCAGAGGTCAATACGTGACCTAATCACACGGCGCAATAATATCTACCGGTGCATATATATAAAATGACTTGCTCTACTTGCTTTTCCTGTATAAAAATGAACAAAATATGCAAGCAGAATAATACTTATTTTATTTACAACGTTTACAAGTATTTCATATTGTATTTTGGCTATCGATTTAACCTGACTTGTAGATTGAGAATATAGGCATACCGTTTTTGTTCACAAGTTTTATGTGACGTTTTACAGCTGTACAGTCGTTAACGTTTATCCTTATTTTTGGGGTAGACTTTAAGTTAAATTTTCAAGATAAACTATAATTTTTTTTATCAAATTCTACTCACGATAAATGTGTAAATCTGTTGGAAAACATCAAAGCATTGCAATCACGCCACAAAGAGCTGACAAACACCTCGGCATTTACGCATATGATGAACTTATAATTACTATTAAAATGGAGGACCTTGCTTCAATTTCTGAAAGCTCAACGTTCATAAAATGTAAAATTCATATTGGCCACACGCGAGTACCTCTAAGATATTTTGCATAAAGGTGCATATAGGTAATATTTTTATGCATGCAAAGTTTGGAAAGGGTACTTGAGTGTGGCCAAAAGTAGTATAAACCGTCCCGATAGGACCGCATTCTGATTGGCTGAGAGAAATCACTTGATCAATTTTGATTGGTTAAGGGGGATAGGTGGGTCAAGTGATTGCAGTTCTAACCCTAACCCTAACTAACCCAACCCCTCTAACCCTACCCCCCCAACCCGAACTAACCCTAACCCCTAACCCTAACCCTAACCCCCTAACCCTAACTAACCCTAACCCTAACCCCCTAACCCTAAACCTAACCCCCTAACCCTAACTAACCCTAACCCCTAGCCCTAACTAACCCTAACCCTAACTAACCCTAACCCCCTAGCCCTAACTAACCCTATCCCCCTTAGCCCCCTCTAACCCTAACCCCTTTGAACCCTAACCTATCCTATCCCCTAAATACGGGGCGCTTACATTGTGTTTACATTGGTACGTTTGTACTACGTTTTGTTTATGCTAGCTGCACAGGTAAATGCGCCGTGTGCAAAACATTTCAAGAATGTGATTATGACGTCACACTTTTTCATTTACAGTCTAGACAGCCTAGTCTAGCCAGCCTAACCGGTTTGAACTGAATTTTTTACTGAAAGACAATAACAAATAACACACAATACAAAAAACATGTGTGTGTTATGTCTCTCAAGTTATAACACCAGGTCACTTTTTTTAAAAACTTAGAATTTCTTTTTAAATTTTTTAAACTTTTTTTTAAAAAACTTATAAATTTTTTTAACTTTTTTAAAATAACTTTAATTTTTTTTTCTTATTAATTTTTTTTTTGGTAAACTCCCCTTATAGTTTTTAAGAAATAAAATTAAAAAAATCATGTAATACTGCATCAGTGTTATGTTATTGTATGACTTCATCTTTTATACAGTCGGGTTCGGGGTTTCGGGCAGCCATGGCGAATTTCGGCAGGATTTTACCCCAGTGAAAAAGGCTTGTAATCCACAGTGTAGGTCGTTTAAAGTTGTTTCACATTGTTTATGATTGTGATTATGTTATCGCTCACCTATATGTTTAATGTCAGCTATGCTAAATAACCCATTTCTGTGTAATTTGAGAGAATGTTTTGACATGTGGTTAAAGTATGGCGTGCTATTCATGTTATCATTTAAAAAGTCGATCCTAAATAAATCTGTCTTAAAAAATACATTTTACGAATGACATTTAATATGATTGATTAGAGTATAGGTATCCATATATAAGAGATATTATTTTGCATTACATTTAAACATGTTTTTCTGTCCTGTTTGTCTGTCAATTGTTGCTTTACTTCCTTTGTAAAATGAGGTTAAATTGAGTATCACTGAATATTGTATGCTTTTTTTTTTCAGGATCAGCTAAGATGTTGTTTCACTGGATTATTTAATTGGGCATATAATTGGATAATTCTGGTAAGTTTGTCTTTGTTTTGTTTACATTTCCTATGAAGGTCATCTTTGCATTTAATCATAATTATGTAAAGTTCTGTTTTGAATGTCAATGTACTGTATTTATCCTCATTTCATGTGATTTACACTTGTACATGTATAACCTGCATGTAACTCAGAGTGCATTTAATATTTCTATGATGGATCATTCCATGATATTGAATTTAAATCAGAAAAATGTTCTCTAAATTTTGGTAAAATACATGCCATCTTTTACATTTCTGTCCCTTTTGTCTGTAAATTATTACTTTACTTACATTGTAAAATGAGGTTAATTGTGTATCACTGAATTGTATGATTTTTTCAGGATCAGCTGAGATGTTATTTCACTGGATTATTTAATTGATAGACTTATTGGGCATATATTTGGATATCTCTGGTAAGTTTGTCTTGTTTTTTAGATTGTTTACATTTCCTATGAAGGTCATCTTTGCATTTAAGCATGATTATATGGTTAATTTAATTACTGTGTAATACTTATGTGATCTGTTGTCTCTAACTTACATTCATATAAGCACACCCTTATTTAACCTAAAATATATTAACACATGATTAAGGGATCTTCAGAATATTAATAAGTCCTTTTGTATAAATTATATGATTTAATTTCATAATTCATTATGTATGTTACCCATGGCCATGGAATTCAGACTTACTAAATGGTGATCAAAGAGATATTAATTAGGAATCTAATTAGAGAAATGGAGGAATTTACAAAAGATTAATCCTAAGTTATTTACTTTTTGTTTTGATTCTAAATATGTGGGATATATGGCATACATATATTTTCATTTTCACTTTTGTTTCTTAGTAATGAGCTTTTCAAAAAATTAAGGACTACATGTTGTACTGTGATGATGCTAAAAAAAGATGTATTTTTCTGTATGCAGTACTGTCAGATATTAAACAAAATTGAATCTGCTGTTAATAAAAAATCTTTTAGTGTCTAAATAATTAATTTGATAATCATTTTATTTGTGATATCAATACAGTAATTGTGCTTTTTTTTTTTATTATCTAAAGATAACATGATGAACTTTTTTCATCTGGAGTTAATGTTAAAAACAATTTGTTTTGAGATTAAAAACAAACATTTTCATGAACTTTTTTGGCATTGTACATGTTTGTTCAATTTTTAAACATGCATTGTTTCACACAGTACTCTGTCATATTAACAAAATGGTTTTATTTTCTATACAGTCCTCAACCTGGAAGATATGTTTTGTTCCTAACCATCTATAATCCATTCTCTATGAAGTTCAGCCTGTCTGCCCTTCCTTTGGAAATATACAGTCAGTCAACCAACATAGAAACAAACTTGAAGGTAAAGTTGCAATGAGATACAATTTAATATATATTTATTTATTATTTTATTTATTTTTTTTTTACATATGCATGTTTATAATTTTGAATTGATATGTAAATGATATATTTAAATAAAAAGGGCTTGGTGGTCATGGTCATTTTTAGACTATATTGATCTCCTTTAGAAGAAGAAGAGCTCCATTTCAATATATATACAAAAATGCATGATCAAATTTTGAAACTAAAATGTATGAAAGTTTTCTTTGCCAAATGATAGTTAACAGCTGAAGATAGCATATCTATAGAATAAGTTAAATATGGCTAATTTGTAAACCCCCCCCCCCTCCCCCAGCTTCCTTAATATCATAGTTGGTAAAGATAGCAAGTTTTGACTCCAATTGCTGATGAATTCTGAATTTCCCATTTAATATTAACATTATATCACAGAGAAAGAATACTATAATGTAGCACATCAGGATGACCAGAAAAGAGATCTTAATGACCCTCTTAACTATGTATAAAGATTGTAACCTTATAACTGATGTAAGATAATCTGATTGTGTGGAATTAAAATTCCCTGGTGTTTCTACTACCCAAGATCTTCTTATGAGTGTATGGGACTACTGTAAACCTTATCCTGTTTATAAAAATAATACCTTGGAGCATGACACTTTATTCATAAAAGGTACTTTCAATATCATTTCTATGAGTTTGTGTTCTTTCTTTTTAATAATGTTGTAATGAATTCAAGTGTTATATCTCCTTTAACCTCATTAATATGTATGCTTCCAAAATCTTAGATCTGTCTGTATTAAGTTTCTTCAGCTCTTTGAACACAAATACCCTGATTCAATTTTTTGAGGTAAACATCATAGAGACATCATAGATGATTATCAGAGTGTATATATCACAATCTTGACCATAAGGTCAATTTAAATGGTCAACGCACAACAAATGAAAGTGAAAACTTTTCTTTTTATTTAATCAGAATACATAATTTTGTAATAAACAAACACTGGAAAGTTACTCTCATAATGAGCCTTAATGTCTTCCAAGAGTTCAGTTTGGACTTCCTCCATTAATCCTTGTATCTTGTAATCCTTGTATCTCCAATGGTTTTGTGGGTTTAAAATCCTGTGTCTTTAACAATCTTTTTTTTTCTGACAACTGTTTTCTGTTATCATCTATAAACTTGACTTCTTCTCTAGTCAAAGGTCTTTCAGGGTAATCCAAGTAATTCTTACCCTCCTTTGGTAATAAATGGTTATATTCTTCATTAGCTTCTTCTGCAATCAAGGGTCTTTCTATGTAATCTCTGACAACATTAGGATCACTCTTTTCTGGACATATTTGGTTATATTCTTGTTGAGAAATTATCTCAATAGTGCCATCTTTTTTATTTTAACTGGTATACCTCTGTCTACATCTTTCTCTGAAAGAATTCTCTCTCCAAACTGAATTTTACTCATTCCCTTACTCTCTTCTTTACTGGAGGTGTTACCCATGGTTAATATGAAAAGTCAAAATCTGATGTAACAACTTGTATTTATACCTTTTTTGTCTATATTTAGAATTCCATCAAGCTTTTATTATATAACATTTTTTTTTTTTCAACTAAGACATTTTCTTTTTATTTTTCAGGATTCTCTAGTGAGGGCTTATGGAAATGATCTATGTCTACTCTCAGAATGGTGAAAGACTATCAGATTATGCAAAGACTAACAGAATATCCTCTCTTGGAACACTGAAACAAGAAAATCAAACAGGAGATGGATGGAGGATTTAAGAAGCACATAAATAAATATGATTTCCAACCAATTTAAGTACGATCATAGACTGTGGTTTACAGGATGACAAAGAAAGGACCCAGGATTGTATCTTTTACTGTCAGACACTGAGTATGGATAAGATGTAGCTATTTATCAGACTGAGATCTAGTCAAATCAAGTATTGAAAATATGATTTCTGATAGCATGAGCTCTTTAAAAACTAATTCTCACGGACCTCAAAGTATCTGAATGTGACTTTTATTTTGACCAATTCATATTGATGACTGTTGTTATGTATGGGAATTACACATTTAAACCTTTTATTTTTCATCTTATTTCTATAACCCCCTAGAAATTACACAGATATTCAGATGCTGGATTTAATGTTATTATTTAACTTTCCTGGAATTGTAAATATATTTTGTTTGTGTATGTATCATGTTTAATTTTGAATTTAAAATTGGTCTCAATAAGACCCCCAATAAAGATGCAAGTGTCTCATAATCTGTGGTTTAATAATATCTTGAATATCTTTATCATACCATATTCATCATACTAATTACATATAGAATGGTTGTAGGAATACACTTTGTTGTTTAGCACACTTTGTCAAGGTCAAAGCATAAGATTATTGAGATGACTTCTTTGACAATAATTTGTAACTTACAAACTTCACATCATAAGTACACAGATGAAGAATCAATAAGATATTTCTATAGATTTTTTGGATCATTTACTCCTGGGTAAAAGTTAGTTACTAACTGAGATTACTGATTTGAGTCCTGTAATGCAATAACTTAAACATTGTGTGATAACTTATAGACTTTATAAAAATTAGGTGCAAATTCTTAGGAAAGGATTGAAATGTTAATCAAATGTACAATGTTCAAGGGTGTTTATATGACTATTACTATGTAATACCTTAGAATTCTGTAAAAATTTTATTATCACTGGGTAGATAAAGACTGGTTGGAATAATTTATGTTTTGAAATAAGGTTTAGGGAAAAAAGTCAAGAATGTGGATATCATACTAATTACATATAGAATGGTTGTAGGAATACACTTTGTTGTTTAGCACACTTTGTCAAGGTCAAAGCATAAGATTATTGAGATGACTTCTTTGACAATAATTTGTAACTTACAAACTTCACATCATAAGTACACAGATGAAGAATCAATAAGATATTTCTATAGATTTTTTGGATCATTTACTCCTGGGTAAAAGTTAGTTACTAACTGAGATTACTGATTTGAGTCCTGTAATGCAATAACTTAAACATTGTGTGATAACTTATAGACTTTATAAAAATTAGGTGCAAATTCTTAGGAAAGGATTGAAATGTTAATCAAATGTACAATGTTCAAGGGTGTTTATATGACTATTACTATGTAATACCTTAGAATTCTGTAAAAATTTTATTATCTGGGTAGATAAAGACTGGTTGGAATAATTTATGTTTTGAAATAAGGTTTAGGGAAAAAAGTCAAGAATGTGGATATGACTTTTATTCAAATGGTGCATTACAGCAACTCTGGTGATTTACATACCTTCAGTCATAAATACATGTAGATAGGTATTTGGAAGACTCCTTTAGATTTTGAAATTTTTAATTCAAAAGTATAGAATTTAAGTTTGAAAGATTAAATGGCAGCATATCATTTGCTTGTGAATTAAAAAATAAATCCAAACATATACATCTTTGGATGATAATTGTAGCATTTTATCAATTCCTGGACTTCAGTCTTGATATCATCCTTTAATGTCCTTAAAATTTTAATGACTGTCTTTTAGTTTTAGTTGAATTAGTTTCTTTTCTACATGTGAAAATTACATCATCCAAAGAAGTTCTTCATCTGCATGTTATATGAAGAAGACAATTTTCATTACAGTGAAAGAGATTGTTTTGTTAAACATATTGCATTGATGCACAAATATACTTTTAGATTTTTAATAGCTAGGGTTCATATTTCTTAATATGGAATGCTAAGTACTGTTGATTTCAATTTTTTTGTGAACAAAGACATACTAGTAGAAAAAAAATGTACATGATGTGTTAGAAAAGCATGTGTAAACCTGATGAGTTTATATTTGCTGATTAATTCAATTATGAGTTTCATCTTTGTTTCAATGTAAACATTTCTAAGTAGGGCACACATCAGAAACTCTTAAAATTCTGACTATCAGGGTTTAACACAACAATTCCAAATGATTTTTGGACGCTTTTTATGTATCGAAAAAAAAGAAGAAGACAAAACAGAATGTTTCTTAACAGATGTTCCAATGGAAAACAACCACAAAGAAATGATTTGATATGTTCTTTATGTGATTCATATAAAATGTATTTTGAAATTGTACCCTAACATTTATCTTTTGCATAAATACATTTTTTTTTGTGGAGAATTTCTCATAACTTTGAAAAAGTAGTCTTATTGTATAATATGGTTAACTTAAAATTTTGTAGACTTAAAACTTGTAAATGATGTGTTATACATCTTACATATGTAACCATTTAAGGGCATTCAGCATATATTGTGGTTTTGTCTTAAATTTGTTTGTTCATGTAATCAATAATTTGAGAATACTCAACTCAAATTAGGTAATGCATGAGAGAATAGGCAAGAAAATCAGGTTTAAGAAATGATTTTTACTATTTATAAGGGGTTAATCTATATATTGAATCTATAAGTACATTTAGTCTATACACTTAAGGTATTTGTTTATGAAATAAACTTGCATTTGAGCATTTTAAGACAATTGTAAACATTACTTTAACCAGTTTAAAAAAAATGATTAGATTCACTGTTACCATGTAATTCCTTGTAAAATAAATGAGAAAAAAAAAACTATTTTATTTGAGTCAGTTTTTTTTTAATGTAAATAAGAAGCATTGGAAGTTGGGAATATTTCACAAAGTTGATTGAGCATAATTCTCACTAGGACCGTAGGAGTATAATGATTTAAGCATTAAAGAAACCATTTCATATTTCAATATACAAACCATGTTTAGTCATGCAGTATATAGTTTACACTTGCCAAAAAAAAAATAAATGGTATCCCTATTCAGGGTCAATCCAAAGGTCAAAAAGGAATGAAAAAAAAATTCTCTTCATGTATCAAACATGTAGGTATTATTGCAATAAATTCACTGTATTCATTTTTTGTCCTCTTTCTATGTATGAAAAGCTCTGATTTAGGCAATCAAAATACAAAAAGCCAATGAGGTATGTCAAATGATGAAGGTATACACCATAAATTAACATGGACAGAGAATTCTGAGTTTCCCTCAAATATGGCCGCCAAGTGACGTGAAATAAAAACAAAACGTGGATTTATCTATTAGGATTGAGACTTGTACATATTATGAATGATGGGTACTATGACATTAAGAATGACATGAAAGAAATAAGTTTGATTCAATTATAAACAGTTCTTAATCCATACAGTCAAAATGGAGGGCATATATTTTTCTTTATAGGCATAAAGTAACAAACACTTACCCAATCCATCAAAATTTTACTTTCTGAAGAAAAGGAACCCTACTTACTTTGTTGAGTTGACATTCAAATTTTTTGTTTGACAGGTAGACTAATGGTTTCTGACTAGTATAATGAGAACTTTTTATTTAAGAGTCATCAGATTGTTCTGATATTTTGGTTAAGATATCTGCATGACATCAATTAATTTGTTCATACAAAGGCGATAAAAGCTTTTCCAGGTTTCCTCTTTACTCAGATTAGATTGTGTCTTGCTAATATATTCAACATATAAAATACTCATCAAAGTCAAACAAAGGTAAATAAATGACCTTATTAAGTTTTTAGTCAAAAGGTCAGAGATGTGGAAATCTTGTTTAATTGGACAATTGTTTAGTTAATATTCATCAAACTTCATAAATGGGTTAATTAAACAAACTTAATATATTTTGATTTTCAGGTCAAAGATCAGCACAATTTTTGCTATACCATTGTTGTCCATGAATATCTTAACACCTCTATTGACTTTTCAGGTTAAAGGTCAATGTATTCCTGCTACAGTAAAACTTCATTATAAGGATCTCATAGTGATATTCTTTATTTGTAAGGAATTAGGTAATTATAAAATCTCCTACTCTTTCTATAATATGTCACTGAATGTGCTCCTTTATTTTAGAGAGTTTTACAAGCAAATCATATACTGACTTTCAATCCTTCAAAATACAATTTATATTGAATCTTGAGATTCAGACTTTCAGACTTTTAGGCTTTCAGACTCTCAGGCTTTCAATCTTTAAAAACTTTCAAGCTTGAGGACTGAGTATTTTGATATTTATTTTGTAAGTCTTGTCTTTTATGTCATTATGATTAATCCTTAGTAATTCAAACTTTTCATGTTTGTAAAAACAGAGTGTGAAAGTACAGTGTTTGTGTAATCTTCTTAATATTTATCTAAAATCACTGCTTTTAATACAGTCAAATATAATTTGTGATGATCAGAATTTCCAAATTGCCTGACCTGTACATATTTAAAGTTTCAATATCATACAGTTTTGAATATCCTTTAATATCAATATATTGATTAAGCATTTGCTATCAACCATACACTTGTTAACCTAAGGAAGGCTCTTACCATAAGTTAAACTCATGGAATTCTTCAAGCAATTTTGAAGAATTTCTGTTATAAAGGATGCTAAAGAAAAAAGACCCATAAATTTCCCAGAAGTAATAATTTTTAAAACTATATATCCACATTAAATTGGGGGAACATTTTTATAAAGGAAAAGGGTTCTTCAAATGTTCCCCAATTTAATGTGGATATATAGTTTTAAAAATTATTACTTCTGGGAAATTTATGGGTCTTTTTTCTTTAGCATCCTTTATAACAGAAATTGTTAAGATATTCATGGACAACAATGGTATAGCAAAAATTGCACTGATCTTTGACCTGAAAATCAAAATATATGAAGTTTGTTTAATGAACCTATCCATGAAGTTTGATGAATATTAACTAAACAATTGTCCAATTAAACAAGATGTCCACATCTCTTTGACCTTTTGACTAAAAACTTAATAAGGTCATTTATTTACCTTTGTTTGACTTTGATGAGTATCTTATATGTTGAATATATTAGCAAGACACAATCTAATCTGAGTAAAGAGGAAACCTGGAAAAGCTTTTATCGCCTTTGTATGAACAAATTAATTGATGTCATGCAGATATCTTAACCAAAATATCAGAACAATCTGATGACTCTTAAATAAAAAGTTCTCATTATACTAGTCAGAAACCATTAGTCTACCTGTCAAACAAAAAATTTGAATGTCAACTCAACAAAGTAAGTAGGGTTCCTTTTCTTCAGAAAGTAAAATTTTGATGGATTGGGTAAGTGTTTGTTACTTTATGCCTATAAAGAAAAATATATGCCCTCCATTTTGACTGTATGGATTAAGAACTGTTTATATAATTGAATCAAACTTATTTATTTCATGTCATTCTTAATGTCATAGTACCCATCATTCATAATATGTACAAGTCTCAATCCTAATAGATAAATCCACGTTTTGTTTTTATTTCACGTCACTTGGCGGCCATATTTGAGGGAAACTCAGAATTCTCTGTCCATGTTAATTTATGGTGTATACCTTCATCATTTGACATACCTCATTGGCTTTTTGTATTTTGATTGCCTAAATCAGAGCTTTTCATACATAGAAAGAGGACAAAAAATGAATACAGTGAATTTATTGCAATAATACCTACATGTTTGATACATGAAGAGAATTTTTTTTTCATTCCTTTTTGACCTTTGGATTGACCCTGAATAGGGATACCATTTATTTTTTTTTGGCAAGTGTAAACTATATACTGCATGACTAAACATGGTTTGTATATTGAAATATGAAATGGTTTCTTTAATGCTTAAATCATTATACTCCTACGGTCCTAGTGAGAATTATGCTCAATCAACTTTGTGAAATATTCCCAACTTCCAATGCTTCTTATTTACATAAAAAAAAACTGTCTCAAATAAAATTGTTTCTTTTCTCATTTATTTTACAAGGAATTACATGTTAACAGTGAATCTAATCATTTTTTTTAAACTGGTTAAAGTAATGTTTACAATTGTCTTAAAATGCTCAAATGCAAGTTTATTTCATAAACAAATACCTTAAGTGTATAGACTAAATGTACTTATAGATTCAATATATAGATTAACCCCTTATAAATAGTAAAAATCATTTCTTAAACCTGATTTTCTTGCCTATTCTCTCATGCATTACCTAATTTGAGTTGAGTATTCTCAAATTATTGATTACATGAACAAACAAATTTAAGACAAAACCACAATATATGCTGAATGCCCTTAAATGAAATGGTTACATATGTAAGATGTATAACACATCATTTACAAGTTTTAAGTCTACAAAATTTTAAGTTAACCATATTATACAATAAGACTACTTTTTCAAAGTTATGAGAAATTCTCCACAAAAAAAAAAATAATTTATGGTAATAAATGGTTTATGTATGTTGCCATGCGTCTTCCTTAGTTCAATATTAGACGACTTCTTATTTATTGGACCACCTAATTCCTCTAAATGCTACAGCGCTCTTATGTCCTTCTACAAACTAGCACAGGATATCGGCCTCCCTATCAAACCGAGTAAAACCGTTCTACCCACGACAACTTTGACATTTTTGGGTTTGGAGCTAGACACTGTGAAATTCGAAATCCGTCTACCGCAAGACAAGCTCGTTTCCTTAAGGGAGGAGGTGCTCAAGTTGAAATCACAGAAATCAGCAACACTGAAGCAATTACAATCTCTTATTGGAATGCTCAATTTCGCTTGTAAAGTCGTTCCACCTGGACGCACTTTTCTCAGACGACTAATTGATTTGACAGTGGGCCTAAAAAAACCTTATCATCATCGTCGACTGAATTCCGAGGCCAAGGCTGACTTAAATGCCTGGGGATTATTCTTGGATCATTTTAATGGAAAAGCACTCTTCCCATCAGGCATCACTCACTCTTCTGCTTCCCTACACTTATTCACAGATGCCAGTGACCTAGGATATGGCTGTACCTTTGGCAAGCAGTGGTTTTTTGGACAGTTTTCTAGCAATTGGCTTCAATTTCATATTGCAGTCCGCGAATTCCTCCCAATTGTCATTGCATTAGAACTTTGGTGTCATCAATTCAAGAACTGCACGGTGATTCTACACTCAGATAATATCGCTGTGGTGCATGTGAGTAATAAAAACACCTCAAAGGACCCACACTTGATGACCCTAATGAGGCGTCTTATGCTCCTCTCCCTTCAACATAATATTCATTTTGTTGCTAAACATGTTCCAGGTGTTTTAAATACAGCGGCTGATATGCTTTCTCGTCTACAGGTAACAGAGTTCCAAGCTCGTTTCCCTCACATGCAGTCCAGACCTACGCCGGTTCCTTCGACGCTTGTCAGACTCTGAAAGCAACTCAAGACTATTTGGTGCGGAATTCATTATCCCAGTCTACACTCTCTGCATACAAGTCAGCTTTCGTTACCTATAGAAACTTTATTAACATGCATTTTGGATCAGGTATAAATCCTTTACCCCCATCCCCCCAGCATTTGGCAGCATTCATTGCCAACTGCTTTCTTAAAAAGCTGGCTGCCTCATCAACACGCACACTGGTATCATCTCTAAGCTTCATTTTTCAACTCGGGGGCTACCAAGATATTACACAACACTTTATTATTAAAAAAATGCTGATAGGGTTTCAAAAATGTAAACCATCATTGGACTCTCGACTTCCCATTACGCCAGCTATTTTGATGCAATTGGTAAATGCTCTGCAGCATACTTCATCTTCCGCATTCCTTCGCTGCTTACTAAGAGCCATGTTCATTTTGGCATTTTGCGCATTCTTACGAGTTGGAGAAATCACAAAAACAACTGGCTCTGCGCAACATTTTTTGCTGTTTGAGCATATCTCAATCCATAAGGGGGCAGACCATTTACAAATTATTGATATTAATATTCCCCATTTTAAGCACTCAAAGTCTAATGTTACCACTTTGCGCCTACATCAAAATACGAAAAATCCAGTTATTTGTCCTTGTTTAGCACTAACCAAGTATCTCCAGCTAAGAAAGCATGAGTCTCCCTCAGAACCCCTTTTCTCCTTCATGGATAAATTACCAGTTTCTAAACAATTCTTCACGCACCATTTACGCACATCTTTAGCTTTTTGCAATCTTGATTTGCAACGCTACCAGTCTCACAGTTTTCGAATAGGTGCAGCGACAACTGCTGCCTCGTTAGGGTTCTCAGAAATCCAGATACAAAATATGGGTAGGTGGCGTTCAAATGCATTCAAAAAATACATTCGCATTCCTACACTGAATGTGTAAGTCCTCACCCTGCTCTCTTTTCGTAATGAAACCCTCTTAATGTTAAGTCATGTCATGCAAACAGGGGTTGCATGCCAATTTTTCATTTGTTTATTATTTTTTACTCACGTTCATTTTTGTTACCCTCCAGTCAGGGGCTGGAAGGTGATTCATGGGCTTAACAGTCAGGGGCTGTAAGTCAACTCAAGTCATGTTAGGACTAGCTATTGTTATAATTGTACATATCATTGTATTTAGGTGCTAAGCAATAATGGAGGCATTTATGTGTGTTACAGTCGCATGTCTCATCATATTTTTTCAATTTGTCCGATGGGTTTTGTTGGATGGGGCGTTAACAAGCTAGCCAATATTTGCGCTACCATTAACTCAGCAAATTTTGACTATCTTGTTAAGGTGGCGATGTAACGCCCCATAACATATTTGGCATTATGTAATGTTATTGTTTTTTCTAGTCCCATTAATGTACTAGTCCAAGTATTTTTTACTTTTTTACTTAAACATATACATTTACATGTTGTACATAACTTATTTAGCAGATGCAGGATATGTTCATGCAATCTTGTATTTTTCTTAGTAGGACTGCTAGCCTAGTTGCATGCTTTTTGATTGAGCATTCTGTGTATTTCATGCAACAGGCTATTGTGTGTATTTTATTTGTTTATTGTCATTTATATTCAATAAATGACCTATTTTATCTTTATGGAGGAGTTGTTCTATTTCTAATTATGAGTGGTAGGCAGACAGACATAAAAATAATTTATGGTAATAAATGGTTTATGTATGTTGCCATGCGTCTTCCTTAGTTCAATGCTAATTTTAACTTGACTGTTTACATAATGTCAATATTGATGGAATTGCGCATGCGCATTAATAATCCCCGCTTGTAAACAGCACGAATCAGTCTGCCACCACCCACCCCTCCTCCTGGAGCTAGGTTTATATACTAGACTTCTCTTAATGTTATGTTTTAGGCGATGTAACGCCCCATAACATATTTGGCATTATGTAATGTTATTGTTTTTTCTAGTCCCATTAATGTACTAGTCCAAGTATTTTTTACTTTTTTACTTAAACATATACATTTACATGCTGTACATAACTTATTTAGCAGATGCAGGATATGTTCATGCAATCTTGTATTTTTCTTAGTAGGACTGCTAGCCTAGTTGCATGCTTTTTGATTGAGCATTCTGTGTATTTCATGCAACAGGCTATTGTGTGTATTTTATTTGTTTATTGTCATTTATATTCAATAAATGACCTATTTATCTTTATGGAGGAGTTGTTCTATTTCTAATTATGAGTGGTAGGCAGACAGACATAAATGTATTTATGCAAAAGATAAATGTTAGGGTACAATTTCAAAATACATTTTATATGATTCACATAAAGAACATATCAAATCATTTCTTTGTGGTTGTTTTCCATTGGAACATCTGTTAAGAAACATTCTGTTTTGTCTTTTTTTTTCGATACATAAAAAGCGTCCAAAAATCATTTGGAATTATTGTGTTAAACCCTGATAGTCAGAATTTTAAGAGTTTCTGATGTGTGCCCTACTTAGAAATGTTTACATTGAAACAAAGATGAAACTCATAATTGAATTAATCAGCAAATATAAACTCATCAGGTTTACACATGCTTTTCTAACACATCATGTACATTTTTTTTCTACTAGTATGTCTTTGTTCACAAAAAAATTGAAATCAACAGTACTTAGCATTCCATATTAAGAAATATGAACCCTAGCTATTAAAAATCTAAAAGTATATTTGTGCATCAATGCAATATGTTTAACAAAACAATCTCTTTCACTGTAATGAAAATTGTCTTCTTCATATAACATGCAGATGAAGAACTTCTTTGGATGATGTAATTTTCACATGTAGAAAAGAAACTAATTCAACTAAAACTAAAAGACAGTCATTAAAATTTTAAGGACATTAAAGGATGATATCAAGACTGAAGTCCAGGAATTGATA